AAAAAAAAAAAAAAATTTGAATAATGAAAGAACAGTTTCAAAGTTCTTTAAGTATAGGTTATTTAGGTCCAATGAAAACAAAGTTCCAGTTCCAGATGCTGAATATGACAGAGGATCCTTAGACTCTTCTAAAAGAAATACGGGCAACGTAAAACCTCAAAAGGAGATTAGTGTGGACTTTAGCACTATCGGTCATTAATATGGCAGACTTGCAACAGCTTCATGAAGATGGGAGTTTAGGTTTATTTTCTTAAAGAAAGACAATTCTGGGCTTCAAAGAAAAAAGTACTTGAAGATATTTCCTCCATTATATATCTGCACGGGAGACATTTTCTCTGTTATTTTTCTTGTGCAGTACAAATCTGCATCGTATAGTGTATTTCTGAAAAAAGCAATAGATATTATTAAGAAAATAGACACTATTTCTAAATTTTTGTTAGGAATAAGAAGGCACCACTGATTTGAGGTTGTGTCCTGCTGTCACTGATAGTTGACTGTGAGTTGTTTATTTCAGTATTTGCTCATATTAAACTTTTTTCTGGGTAATATCACTTAAGACCATTACTGTGGCTTCCGGACTACAAACAAGACACATTCATAGTAGTATTTCATCATGGAGAGATCATTCACAGTATATGTTGACAATACAGATTCTTTTTCCACCTGTAATACAAACAAAAATCATAATAAGATCATGATGGCAACACTACTAACAAATAACAAGAAGTTAGTGGTAGGTGGTATCATAACTATATTTAAACAATACTTCCCATAAGACTGATAGCATCCAAAATCTCACAACATTAATAGGTCATGTAAGATCAGCATCACACCACTAACATATGGTTAAAAATGGATTCAAATTCAGGCCATCTTAACTACAAAGTGCTACAGATGCATTGCTTCTCTTTATTCATAAATCCACTTTTGTAAGTGAGTATAATAGTAAATAATCAACTTAACAGCCAAAGTACAATAAAGTTCTATTTAATACAGGGGTGTGGGAGAGGAGAAAGGACAGGAAGTAGAAAGTAAGATACAAAGAATTGCTTCTTTGTACCTGCCTTCCCATCATCTGCCTTCTCCAGAGTCTAGTGTACTTGGTACCTGTCAGTGAGAGATTACTCAGGCCATTATCAGCTACCATTTACTGAAGGTCTATTTCAACAGGAATTATAATTTTCCCTTTACATACATATTGTTCCAAATCTTTACAATTAAGAAAGCCATGTAACAATAGCTTTTCTATCTGGATGAGGAGAAGTGAAGAAGTAAAGTTAGTAACTGCTATAATGCCTATATTCCTGTTTAAAGGCTTTCAAGTTAAACTTTGGTACTGTTTCTTACCTCCAGTTGGAATCCATACTGCAGAACAACATTTTTAATATCCTCATAGCTCAATTCTATAGAAAGTTCATTTGCCAGATTTTCAAAATGGTATAGTAGAGGACCTATGGTTTGAAGATACTATGAATGAGTTACATGAACATAAGCTTTGTACACTGAATTACAGATGTACTAGTCGAGTAGGAAATAAGGTAAAAATAAAAAGATCAACTACATTTGCTGAGGACAATCATCCAAACTTGTGGAACACAAACCCATCAGTTTCAGCCAAGAAAACACCATGTCACAATTGTAGCCTCAGATTAGTCTTGTCTTTACCTTTGATTCATTTCATCATAAATCCTACATACAGCTAGCTCCATTTACACTCCTCAGACAACATCCTGAGATGGGGGGGAAAAAAAGCTAGGAAGATAAAAGTAACAAGTGAGACAATTTCTGCTCCTAAGAGGCTTTGCCATCCTGTCATGCTGTGGGTAAACACTTACTTCTCCTTTAGTTTTGAGGTAGTGTAAATGGAGTTCTTAATTGGTCCAGATAATAAAAACTCAAATTCAGATATAGAGGGAAATGCTGAGAGATCAGAGAGAAGGAGAAAGCCAC